ATACTGAGGATGATTCAAGGGAGGAGAGAGAAGGAAGAAGATGGTGAAAGGGTCGGTTAGGTTGTACGGAGCGATCAAGATTGATAATCCACCATGGGTGATTGAGTTATTGTCATCTTAGTTAACAATGGCCTAGGGCTTTAGAGGAAGATGGAAGCTGGGAAGTTTACGTTTCCCTAACCTGATATTGTTCCTTAAAATGTTTTAATTGAATAATCTCTTTTTATTTCCATGTCATTACCACATCATTTAGTAGTTTATTTTGAGTCATATTAGTTTTATTCAGGACCATTAGATGTAAAAAGATCCAAGAGCTAATATGGAGTGTAAAGATATTTGTCAAAATATTTGCCTTTTGATACTACATATGTATGTGTATATTATATCTCGAAATGGAATGAGTATGGCAGACCTCTTGTCTTACGACACCGGCGTCATGAGCCGGATCAATCACTGCAACTTTTTTGAGCATTCCATTTGCAGACATAATGACAATGCCTCGACGTCTTTGTTGAGTAGCTTCTGCAATCTTCCATGCAACATCCTTAAACCAAAAAAAAACAAAAAGGAAACAAAGTGAAAAGCTCCATTACATATCAAGCAAAAAAAAAAAAAAAAAAAAAAATTAGAGTTGCATATTGACCAAACACACAGAAGAAGTTATATTGTAAAATATATCATAACAAAATTGTTTTCTATATATAATAGGTGTAGTATTTTTAACGTTTTTCAGAAGAAACTTCTTTTTATTTAGATTAGGATACTGAAGCACTGTTACGACTATCATCAATTTAAGTAAAGCCATTGGAAGTTTCTGATAATGCAATAAACTTTTCCTCACACTTGTTCCAAATCCTTATGATACTTTTCTACATTCTGTAAATTTTTATGTAACCACCAAGGTGAAATTCATGTCAAGGGCAGACATCTAACCAAAAGTAAGTACAAGTCAGGAAGAAACTTCACTCAGTAAATGATGATATAATTTACCTCATCAGGACTGATCATATGGGGCATAAAACTGTTGCATTGAGTAATGACTGAACTCCAGTTCCTCCCTGCAAAATAACAATATAGAAGGGCTAGTCTACGGTACTCTTAACAATATAGAAGGGTTAGTCTACGGTACTCTTTAAAAATCTAATTTCAATATTCAGCGCATAACGTTTGCAGTAAATATAATGAAAGCTACTTTGTAAAGTTTTTAGTAAGCTGATATATACAGGAATTGGATTTTAGAGGGAGCTGAAAAGACAGAGAGAGTGAGAGGCAAGGTTTGTCACAACTGCAACTCTACTACACTGCAGAGAGCAACATTTCATTCATATTCATTCCTTTCTTTTACATCAGACATCATAACCGTTCAATTACATGAGCCAATGTGATTTTGACACATGGCAGAACAAAGCATATGAGTCATTGAAAAAGAGTCCTGATCCAAGACCATACACTTGGCATATGAGCACAAGTTATCACATCATAAAACAGCTACTCAATAGAACAAAGATAAAATAGATAAGTAAATCATTTACTAACTTGAAATTAGTAAGCAATTTACTTTTCAACACTCCCTTCTAAATTGTTAACTGATTTCACACTCAGTAAACTTCTCAAGTTGTTGAATCTGTCTTTGGGAAGAGCCTTGGTAAAGATGTCTGCAATTTGTTCTTCACTCTTGTAGTAAATTAGATCAATGGTACCTTCTTGAATTGCATCTCGAATAAAGTGAAACTTCCTGCCAATATGCTTGGTTCTTTGATGAAACACAGGATTCTTAGACATAGCTATAGCTGAAGTGTTGTCACAGAATAACGATGTTGCTGTAGCTTGCTCTTCTCCAAAGTCCTTGAGCACAAACCTAAGCCAAATGGCCTGAGATGTTGCTTCAACTGCACTAACATACTCTGCTTCTGCAGTTGAAAGAGCTACACTATGCTGCTTGACTGAAGCCCATGAGAATGCCCCACTTCCAAATGAAAAAGCATACCCTGAGGTGCTTTTCATATCCTCCTCAGATCCACTCCAGTCACTATCGCAATATCCAATCAGCAAAGCAGATTTTCCATTCAAATATTCAATTCCAAAGTCAATTGTTCCTTGAATGTACCTTAGGACTCGTTTAGCAGCTCCATAATGTTTCTTGGTAGGCTTGTGCATAAATCGTGCAAGTACACTAGCAGAGAACATAATATCTGGTCTAGTTGCTGTTAAATACAGAAGACTTCCAACTATTTTCCTATACTCACACTCATCTGCAGGTTCACTTCCATCTTCTCTTCTCAGTTTATCAGTTGCAACCAATGGAGTGCTCACTGGTTTGCAATCTTTGAGCCCAAATTTATCCAAAAGAGTTAGAGCATATTTTTTCTGATGTATAAATATACTCCCTTCAGTTTGAGTTACCCCCATTCCAAGAAAGTGATGAAGTAAACCCAAATCTGACATCTCATATTTGCACATCATTTCAGCTTTGAATTCTTCCATCATTTCTACATTGCTCCCTGTGTACACAATGTCATCAACATAGATTGACACGATCAAGGTACCAACACCTTCCTTGCTTCTCACATATAAAGTTGCTTCACTTGAGCTTTTGTGAAATCCACAGTGAATTAAATATGTGTCTATTTCACTGTACCAGGCCCTTGGTGCTTGTTTTAGACCATAGAGAGCCTTTCTCAGCCTATAAACCTTGTCTTCAGCCCCTTTAATCACAAAACCATCAGGTTGATCAACATATACCTCCTCCTCAAGAACACCATTCAGGAAGACTGATTTAACATCTAATTGCCACAATTTCCAACCTTATGGTGCAGCTAGTGCAATGAGTGTTCTAATAGTATCTAACCTTGCCACTGGAGCAAAGGTTTCATTAAAATCAATCCCTGGTTTTTGTGTGTAACCTTTGGCTACAAGTCTTGCCTTGTGTTTTTGAATGGAGCCATCAAGATTCAGCTTTGTTTTGTATACCCACTTCACACCCACAACAGGTTTACTACTAGGTATGTCAACTAATTCCCACGTGGAATTCTTTTCAATCATCAATATTTCTTCTGTCATAGCCTTTTTCCAAGCATCATCTTTGACTGCCTCACTGAAATCTTCAGGTTCAATGATGCTCATGTTGCATTGAGCATATACTTCACTCAAACTCTTCCATTTCTGTGGAGTATGATCATAACTTCCAGAGATTGGAACTGGAGAACCAAGTGAACTAGGTTCTTGAGATGCTTGCAGATCTCTAGTTGATTGTGATCTCAGAGGAGACTGCATTGACTGAGGTGAATCACTTGAATTTGGATCAAATTCAGATATCCTTGAGCTTCTTTCATCATTCCAAGGACTAGGAACTTGAACTGATTCATTAGTTTCCCAGTCCCATATTACTTTCTCATTAAAGATTACACTTCTTGATAGTTCAACCTTTTGAGTTCTCAAGTTGAAGATTCTATATCCTTTTTCACAATTTCCATATCCAACGAATACTCCCTTCTCACCAGTTTCCTCCAGTTTGTGTCTTTTCTGTGAAGGAATGTGAATATAACACATGGAACCAAATATCTTCAAATGTTTGACACCTGGCTTCCTCCCACTAAATGCCTCAAATGGAGTTATGTTGTTCAGAGCACTTGTTGGACATCGGTTTTGCAGATACACAGCTGTGTTGACAGCTTCAGCCCAAAACTTCAAGGGAATCTTCTTTTCAATCATCATAGTTCTTGCCATTTCAATTATTGTCCTATTATTTCTCTCTGCAACACCATTTTGTTGCGGAGAGTAGGCAACAGTCAATTGCCTTTCTAATCCCATATCTTCACAGAACCTTGAAAACTCTAGAGATGTATATTCTCCACCCCTATCACTTCTGAGTTTCTTGATTTGATAGCCACTCTGTAGCTCAACCATGGATTTAAACCTTTTGAAAATGTTGAAGACTTGAGACTTGTGTTGCAAGAAAAATACCCAACACATCCTAGTGTGGTCATCAATAAATGTGAGAAAGAATTTGTTGCCTCCTAGAGTAGTTATCTGCATTGGGCCGCATATATCAGAATGAATAAGTTCTAGAGGTTGTGATGCCCTCCAAACTTTTCCCTTGTCAAATGATTCCCTGTGACCCTTTCATGTAGCACATCCAGAGCAAACATGCTCAGAGACTTGTAGTCTAGGTAAGCCCTGCACCATTTCCTTCTCTTGCAGAAGCATCAAACTAATGTAATTTAGATGTCCATATAATCTATGCCACAACTGAGATGATTTTCAACAGTTGCTCTATTAGCCATGTGAGGATTAACATATTCCAAACTTAATGGAAATCATCTGTTTCCTTTCATTGGAACACTTGCAATCAGATCTTCCATCTGTCTATCTCCATAAATATCAACCATGTAATCACCAAACACAAGCCAATGTCCATGTTCTACCATCTGCCCTACACTCAATAAGTTTTCATCCAATCCAGGTACAATCATAACTTCTTTAATATACCTAGTCACACCTTTCATCTCAATCACCAATGTGCCTTTGCCTATTGACTGCACTAAATCTCTAGTGCCCATTTTAACTCTACACTTCACATTCTTATCAACATCAATAAGCAAGGATTCATGGGAGGTCATATGATTGCTACATGCACTATCTACATACCATATATTCATACTTCTTCCAATAGTAGCAGAATGGCAGGCATAAAACATGGTTGTAGATTCTGTTACCTGATTCGCATAGTTTACAAGTTTTCCAGACTTGTTTGGTTGATCACAATCCTTGATGAAATGACCGAAACGATTGCATCCATGACATTTCGGCTTCCCTTTAAACCAGCACTCACCATAGTGCAGTTTATCACAATGCTTGCATTTTCCCTTAGACTGATCAGATTTTCCTCCTTGATCATATTTGCCACCTCAATTAGCAAGATTCTGAGGTTTAGGATCCCATTTCTTTCCTTTTGATTTCCAATCCTTCTTTGGTTTAGAATTACCAAACGAGAGATTTGGTTAGGTTCCTTTCGAATTCAGATTCAGAGTACTGAAAGCTCTTTCAATGGTACTCTCAGCATGCCTATTAAGGCGTTGTGCAAACCCTCTTAATGCTGCAATCACCTCTTGTACCTCAATAGTTTCAATATCCTTAGTTTGTTCAATTACATAACAAACAGGATCAAACTCCTTAGTTAAGCTTATGAGCAATTTCTGAACTAATCGTTCTCTGGGTAAATCTTCCCCATAACCCTTCATCTGATTTACCAACTCGAGAAGACGAGTGAGATACATAGACAGAGTTTCATCATCCCTCATCCTTGTGTACTCGAAATCACGGCATAGACCTTGCAACTTGATGGATCTCACTTGCTTATCACCATGAAATTCCTGATGTAGGATGTCCCAAGCACCCCTTGAGGTCTCTTTGTTTGAGATTTTGGGAAAGATGTCATCCGAGACAGCTCATTGGATTATACCCAGTGCCTTAGCATCCTTCATTAGCTTGTCGCTCAGAGAAACTCTCTCCGACTCCGATGAGCATTCATCTCCAATCTTCTTATCCTTCGATTCTGAAATTTCAAACCCCTTTTCAACTAAATCCCCGATTCCATGTGATTTGAAAATAGTTCTCATTCGAATCTTCCAAAATTCATAGTTGTCACCATTGAATATTGGAGCCCGAAGATCACTACCACCAGATCCAGCCATTTGAGACTTGAATCGACAAACTGAGTCGGAAATTTCACGTTGGATTTCCGAGCACAGCACTCACAGATCTTACGCCCCGATTCCAGATAGAACCTGAGCTCTGATACCATGTTAAGTTTTTAGTAAGCTGATATATACAAGAATTGGATTTTAGAGGGAGCTGAAAAGATAGAGAGAGTGAGAGGCAAGGTTTGTCATAACTGCAACTCTACTACACTACAGAGAGCAACATTTCATTCATATTAATTCCTTTCTTTTACATCAGACATCATAACCGTTCAATTACATGAGCCAATGTGATTTTGACACATGGCAGAACAAAGCATATGAGCCATTGAAAAAGAGTCCTGATCTAAGACCATACACTTGACATATGAGCACAAGTTATCACATCATAAAACAGCTACTCAATAGAACAAAGATAAAATAGATAAGTAAATCATTTACTAACTTGAAATTAGTAAGCAATTTACTTTTCAACATACTTTTCATGATAGACCGTGGTGAGCACAAGAATCCCTTGAAATAAACACACATTCTATAATCACTCTCTTAATCCTGAATAGAAGCATTCAAGGTGATAGTTCAACAAGAGAATATGGAAATATACGGCATCAAATTTTCCACAGAGATGAACCCCTTTGATTTTAAGGTTCTGCACAATAAACATGTGTACTTGAATAAAAAGTGAACCTAATTCGTAAACTACAGTACTAAAGGTCAAATAAGAAATGAAGCCTATAAATAAATAAAGAGAGAGCCTAAAAAACTAATTCGACTAGGAATCGTCTCTTCACAGATTTCATGACAAACCAAACAAAAATGGAATATGGACAGACTGATTTGAAAAAAGAAAAAAAAAAAGAGAATGGGCTGACCAACAATGAAACCTATAGTTCCAAGCAATCTATGAATATTAGCCAGATATGATATATGGATTCATTCGATTCCTCCCCCATCTGTACCAGTTTCCCATTGATACTCAACCATAATTTTAATCTGTCTGTGTCTAATTCTTTCCTTAAAACCAAATCTTTGAAGTCAAAAGAAACAATTTGTACCTTCCGAGTATGTGACAGAAACCAAGAGGGAAGATGATGAATCTGAACGACATGTGAGAGAGAACCAAGAGTGAACATAAATTTCTTTCTTTTCTGACACAAACCCGAACACGACAAGGATAGTTTAAATTATCAGGTTAGGGTTAACTATTATAGGAGTGAACTCAAGTTGCCAACCCATGAAAGGAATAACCCTAGCTTAATGACGGGTGAAGGGGTTAAATCTAGCTGAATGACGGCCAAAAGGGTTGAGTTGGAGCATTGAGGAGGGGTTTAGATTTGACGTTTGAGGTAAGTGGATCAATATAACAACTAAAGTTTGATGAGGTTACGAGTTTAGATTGATGCGGATCATTGTGAGAGAAATGAGATAAAAGAAGAAATGGAACGGCGATAAGACCGGGAAAGAAGATCTTCGTACTAATTTTTTCTTTTCTGAAAAAAAAATTCAAAAAGAAAGGACCAGATACAAAAAGGAAGCTAAATAAAGATTTTGCTTTATAGCAGGGACTGAATGATCAGTCGGGAGGGTGAAGGCCGGCGGTGTAGATAGATAGAAGGGCGTATAATGAGTAAACACTGATAGGACTTACGAGTATATGTTGTATAGTAATTATACAAAACATGATTAGCTGTTAAACTTCAGAGTTTTTGTAAAATATAAGACTCGTAGGCTCGATGAAAACCTGCTGTATTCTAATAGAAACTTTTCACAACTCTAATTATAATTTAAAAGCTTAATAACAAAGTAAGGATGGGCGTCCACTTTCAAAGTTACGGTACCTAGTTAATATCTAATGTTTTATTCAATTCTATCATCTTAGAGTATTTGCGCACGAGAGATTCAACCTTGTAACCTCTTCTCTATCTCACTAATCACGTGAGGTTACAACTAAGAAAGGAAAGGAAATAACGACAAACTTTACTTAACTCTTAACTTTAAAACTTATTCTTAGTATCAAGTAGAGAAATCCAAAAGTATTAACTCATAATCTTTTAAGTCTGAAAGCTTTACCACTATAAAATAAACAGAAAGAAACTATTAATGCTGACCAAAACCAAACTGACACCATCAAAATTTTGCTATGGATCAAACTCGTAGCACATTTATTATACCTTATTTTGTTACATAACTCATATCATTCTCAAACCCTAACTGCAAATGCTATAAAATGCAAATGAGTGAACACTAAAATGGTTAGAAGATACCCACCAATTGGTTCGGATGCTGGTGTCTTATCCTGATTGTGCTTTGATGGGGCACGTGATGAAGTCGGCACTCTTGGCGAGTATGATCCTTTTGCCGATGGCGCTGTCCCGTCGGGGCTATACTTCCTTGGCCTTCCCTTTTTTTTTGTGCATAGCAGCATTAGATCCACCCCTGGCCCTCCCCCTATAACTGCAAATGCTATAAATACAAATGAGTGAATACTAAAATGGTTAGAACCAATTGGTTCGGATGTTGGTGTCTTATCCTGATTGTGCTCTGATGGGGCAAGTGATGAAGTTGGCACTCTTGGCGAGTATTATCTCTTTGCCGCTGGCACTATCCCGTCGGAGCCATACTTCCTTGGCCTTCCCCTCTTTTTTATGCCTGAAGTGCTAGCAACATTAGGTAATGACCAAATGGGTACTTGTGAATGTTGCTTAAAAAGGAAGATGACCAAATCTCCATTCACTGGGAAAGGAGAACGTGCCACTGAAATTCTAGGGTTAATTCACACTGACGTATGTGGACCTATGTCTACTACGTCGAGAGGAGGCTTCTCCTACTATATCACATTCACCGAAGATCACTCTCGGTTTGGCTATGTGTATCTTATGAAGTATAAGTCAGAATCCTTTGAAAGGTTCAAAGAATTCAAGAATGAAGTTGAGAAGCAAACTAGGAAACAGATAAAGATCCTAAGATCAGATTGAGGGGGAGAGTATCTATGTAACGAGTTCCTAGATTTTCTCAAAGAGTGTGGAATAATATCACAGTGGACTCCACCGGGAACTCCACAACTTAATGGAGTTTCTGAAAGGAGAAATCGAACCTTGATGAACATGGTTCATTCTATGATGAGTTCCGCCAATCTACTAGTAACATTCTGGGGATACACTCTATATACAACAACTTACTTGCTTAATAAAGTACCTTCCAAATCAGTTTCACAGACGCCCTATGAGATATGGCATGGAAGAAAGCCAAGTCTTAATCACATTAAGATTTGGGGTTGTGAAGCATATGTCAAGAAGCTTGAAGCTACTAAGCTTGAAGCGAGATCAGTTAGGTGCTATTTTGTGGGATATCCTATAGAAACTATGGGATATGAGTTCTACCATCCTGACGACCAAAAAGTCTTTGTCGCCAGAACTGCTAAGTTTTTAGAGGACGAATTTGTTCTCAAAGGAACTATAAGTAAAATGATGGAAATTAATGAGATTAATGATGAACCACAAACGAGCACTCGACAAGTTGACAACCTTGTTCCTGAACCCCTAGTTCCACGTAGATCTGAAAAGGTTAGCAAGCCACCTAAGAGCTAAGGCTTAGATAATGACTTTGGGGAATTGCACCTTCTAGGTGACAATGACACAAAGGAGGACCCTAGGGACTATACTGAAGCAATGTCCGACATTAACTCAAAGAAATGGCAAGAGGCCATGAAATCTGAGATGGATTCCATGTATCAAAATCAAGTGTGGACTCTTGTAGACCCTCCAGAAGGTATAATACCTGTTGGAAACAAATGAGTCTTCAAGAGGAAGCTAGGTGCTGATGGGAACGTGGAGACTTATAAGGCTAGACTAGTAGCCAAGGGTTACAGGCAACGAGAAGGGATTGACTATGAATAAACCTTTTCTCCTGTAGCCATGATTAAGTCCATTCGGATTTTGCTGGCTATAGCTGCGTACCATGATTATGAGATATGGCAAAGGGATATGAAGACGGCCTTTCTGAACGGCTACCTAGAGGAAGAACTCTATATGACTCAACTTGAAGGTTTCGTGTCCAAGTCTGAAAGGACTAAGGTATGCAAGCTTCAGAGGTCCATTTATGGACTTAAGCAAGCCTCTAGGAGTTGGAACATTCGTTTTGATACTGAAATCAAATCGTTTGGTTTTACTCAAAACGAAGACGACAATTGTGTTTATCAAAAGGTCGTTGGGGATGCAGTTGTATTCCTAGTCTTATATGTAGATGACATATTACTATTCGGGAATGACACTACAGTATTTTCTTTTGTAAAAGTGTGGTTGTCCAAAACCTTCCACATGAAAGATTTAGGAGATGCATCTTATGTACTTGGGATAAAGCTCTATCGTGATAGATCCAGAAAATTAATTGTATTATCCCAATCTATGTACATAGATAAGGTGCTAAGTAGGTTCCAGATGGAACAATCTAAGAAATGTCTTCTTCCTGTAAGACATGGAATTCACATTTCTAAGTCCATGGGACCTAAGACTCCTGAAAAGATACGGTAGATGAGTGTTAATCCTTATGCTTCCGCCATAGGAAGTCTTAGGTATACCATGATATGCACAAGACCTGATATCGCATATGCTGTGAGCATTACTAGTCAATATCAATCTAACCCAGGATCAGAACACTGGGCAGCTGTCAAGACGGTCCTTAAGTACTTAAGAAGAACTAAGGACATGTTCCTCGTTTATGGATGAGCGACAGTGTTGCGAGTGGAAATCCTATACAGACACAGATTTCCAATCTGACGTCGATGATAGAAGTTCCAACTTCGGATATGTATTCACTCTAAATGGTAAGGCTGTTAGCTGGAAAAGCAAGAAACAAGATGTAATTGCTGATTCAAAGTTGCCTCAGCCAATAACGTAGTAGATCCACTGACAAAGCCAATGTCTCAAATCCAACTTGACTGCCATATGGAAAGGATGGGTATTAGATACATGGGAATGTGGCTTTGAGTGCAAGTG